GGGGAGGCACGCCTCACCCCAACTTCCCTTAAGCCTCACTCTGCCTAGTTGGCATCCTCTTCCTCTGTCTCCTTAGCAATCTTGGCTCTTGCAAGTGTCTCTCCAAGGACCCTCTCTGCTCTGCCAGGGTAACAGACATGCATGGAGCACTCTGAGGGTGCCAGGTATTGGCCTATGTTTGGGGGAAGGGATCCAGAACCTGGGGCGGGGGTGGGGTGGGTGAGGGGGATAGGGAGAGAGAGAGAGAGAGAGAGAGAGAGAGAGAGAGAGAGAGAGAGAGAGATTTGTGTCCCGAAACATTCACTGTTGAATGGATCCAAGTTGTACACTTAAAAGATGGCAAATTTGATGTAGCATCTTTTACCAACATCTGTGAATACGATCTCGTTTGGAAATAGGGCCTCTGCAGATTTAATTCATTACCATGAAGCCAGACCGTGGTAGGGTGGGCCCTTGTGCAAAATGACTGACCTTCTTACACGAAAGGAAGGGGCACAGCCAGAGGCAGAAGGAAGGGGCTCGGGTGAAGACGGAGACCGACACTGGAACTAGGCTGCTATAAGCCAAGGACACCTGGGAGCACTGGAAGCTGGCAAAGACGCAGAAGGATCTTCCCCTAGCGCCTTCAGAGAAAGCGCGGTCTGGTCATGAATTCAGACATCTGGCTTCCAGCACTGTGAGAGAATCAGTTTCTGGTGTTTTCAGCCATCCGGTCTATGGTCCTTTGTTATGACAGCGCGCACCGAGGGCGAAACAGTTCCTCTGTTAAGCACGCCTTGGTGTAGTCACTCACCCAGCCTCTCCACAGTGCCTTGCTCCATTCCTACTTCCTAGCTGAGAAGACTGGAGTCTCCGAGAAAGGAGTAGCAGGAAGAGCAAGGGCCTGAACCCAGGTCTGTTTCTGGATGCTTGTCCATGTGGCTGCACTGCCACCCCCTCAGAGCTCAGAAAGTAATCACTAGTATGGCAGCCAGTTGAGCACAATGCCAACCCTGAGGGGTGTCCTGAGCAGAACTACCAGGATAGCAAGTGACAGCTTGGAAGAGTGCGGGGGCTTGGGGTGGGGGCAGGCTCAGGAGGGCTGCATGGAGGAAGTGCTATTAAACTGGGCCACTCCTCAGTGGGAATGGTGGGAGGTGGAGCAGAAACCATGAGCAGGGGTCACACCATGTCAAGGCTCTTGGGTCTTCCTCTGTGGGCAACAGAGAGCAATTGACCAGACAGGAGAGGGGTGTGTCCTGCCGAGGGGTGCTGCAGGAAGGGAACGGAAGGGAAGAGTGTGGTGGGAATGGGAGAGGCAGGGCCACGAAGAGATTGGAGGGGAGAGCTGAGCAGTGTAATGGGTGCCTGCATGCCTCTCCATTTCTCCTGTGGGAGGTCTAGGGTGTGGTGGAAAGGAGTGAGGTGGGGTGGGGCTATGCTTAAGGGAAGCAAGTGGCAGGATAAAGTCCTCTACTCGTTGGGCCTCCAGCATCTTGTTTTCTCAACGCCTGGGCTAGAAGGATGGTGCCCTCTGCTCCCAACCACCTGAAGTCCTTGTGTGGGTACGAACTTGGGCCACAGAGGTCGCTCAAATTTGCTGCCTCGGGACTGTCCTACAACCTCCGGAGGGGACCAGATCTGGAGGGAGCAAGACCCTTTTTTCAGAAAAAAGGAAGAAAAAGAAACCTAAAGAAGGTGAATGAATTGTCCAAAGTGCCAGAGCTTTCTAGAACCAGGTAGAAGCAGGGGTCCAGCACAGCTTTCATGCCCCATGCCCAGCCCCTTCTCCATGTGGCCAGCACGGGCAGAGAAGTGGGGGTTTCTCTACCTTATGGCTTATGTGCTCCCCCTCTCCGCATCCTTTTGGCCTCCTAGGAGAAGAGGCTGGCCTGGGAGGAAGCTCTTTCCACTTTCGGAAATCTCAGCTAGAGAAAGACCTTCACTGGCTGCCATCGTGTCAATGCTGAATGCCTTGGGGATTCCTGAGACGGTAACGGCTTACAGGAGTAGAAAGCCTAGTCTTTCTCCCTCAGAGATGCTGGTGGTTTTGAACTGCCGACCATGCGGATTGCAGTCAATGTCTAACCACTATGCCACTTTGAAGGAGGCAGCACATCTCCAATAAGTCAACACAGGTGCATGCCCCATGCCCCAGGGCCATCCTCATCCTTCCTGAATAAGTGTCCCATGCCAGTCCCCTCATCCTCTGGCTTCTCCTTACCCATTAGGCAAGGTAAGCACAAGCCCATTTTTCCCCCACCTCATCAATGGTTCTGCTTCTAGGTCTGACTGCCACTTGTCTTGCTCCCAAGCCCACAGCACCTCCCTCCAGAATCAAAGTCTCTGTTCACATTTACAGTCCCCAACCTGGATGGGTGACCCGGTTAGCAAGGTCTGCACGGGCCTCCTTAGGAATCTGTAGTGAACAGCTCCACGCGTTGTTTTCACAGTAGCGAAGATGCTTAACCCACTGGCAGTTGTTTACCACGGATTCCTAAGGAAGCATAAGGAGGTCCATGCTCATCTTGCGTACTGGGTCATCTTCCCTGAGGCAGGCTGGTCCTGGCTGGGGCAGGGGTAGATGAGGTGGAGTGGGGCCTGGTGTCTCCTGGGAAGCCACCTAGGGGAAATCCCAGAGGCCCACCCAGCAAACACAGCCTCTGGGGAGTTCACTGATGTCAGGAAAGAAGAGGGGACTTTTGTGTACTCCCAGGCACCTCCACCGGAGGTGGCACCAGGTCCCAGTATCAACGTGTCAGCTCTTTCTCAGACTCCTTCTGCTCCGCTCCCCTGTGGTTCGGGGGCCCAGCAGCATCGGCTTCCCACCCCCACCAGTCGCAGAGCAAGGGGAAGTGGCCCTGCTCATAGAGGAGCGGCAGCCAATGGCAGGCCTGCTGGGCCTAGCGCCGGGGAATGGTGACAGCCCGTGTGAAGACTGACGGATGGCGCCCATTCTCACCTCAGCTGCAACCTCAGAGGAGCAGCTGGGGTGCAGAGTCGGCCGGAAATGGCAGCCACCCCTGGCCCTGAGAGGGGACAGGATGCACACCCCAGTGGCCCCGGGCTCAGCCTCTCAGCCTCCACTCAAGAGCTGCTCCCCCCACCCCCACCTCTACCACACACACACACACACAAAGGGGTTTTCCTACAGGGCTACACTCCAGGAGGTAGGCCTGAAGAGAAGGAACCATGAGGGGCTGGAGATACCAGACCTTGGCCTGGGGCTGGGCCTCTTGGACCTGGTTCAGGCCCGCTTTGGCGTGGTTCTAGACTCCTGCTGGACGTGCAGAATATACTTGCTGATGGCCTGGTAGAATCCTAGAATCAATCAGTGAAGTCTAGGAATCTTAGATCTGACAGAACCTTCCAGGAATCTTCTCATCTGGCCTGTGGCCCAGGAAGATCAACACAAGAGCCCTCTTCAGCAGTTGCTTCCCCCTCTCCCCACCCCCCCACCCATTACAATCGAGTTGCTGAAGTTCCCTCCGCTCCTCAGCCTTCACTCCTACTCACCAGCTCACTGGAGGCTTCATTTCTCATTAGTGACAAGTTATCTCTCCCCACTTAGAGAGACCCTTTCTGGTTCCCCCATCCCCGGCGCCACACACACACACACACACACACACACACACACACACACACGCCATGCAGGTTTGAAGGTCCCTTTCCTGAGGCTGGAAGTCATTACCAAGGTGACTGAGCTAAGTGGGCAGCTGTCTGGGCCACACTCCAAGGGCAGGGGACTAGAAGCATCATGGTTCTAAGGTGGGCGACTTGGTAGGGCCTTTTGAATGAGCTAACCCTGCTGCGGTAGAAATGGTGGCAGAAGGGATGGAGCTCAGTCCTAAGATTCAACTCGAGAACTGTATTTGGCTATTCTTGAGTTTGAGTCTAGAATCCCAGTCTCTCATTTTAAGTCTCTAGCTCTTCATGTTAGGGTTCAAGTCTCTAATGCTAGACTTTAATTAAAAAAAATTTTAATTCTAGACTTTTTCGAGCCTCTTCTGTAAGCCAGGAGAAAGATGGCGCTTTCTACTCCCGAAAAGAGTTAAAGTCTCAGAAACTCACAGAGGCAGTTCTACCCTGCCCTAGAGGGTGACTGTGAGTCAGAATTAACAGTGAGTTTGGCTTTTTGTTTGTTTGTTTATTTTCTATAACTCTGTTAACTCTAGAATTGTAAGGCTCTTCTGGACCTCTGTTCCTCTAGTCCCCTTTCGGCCCCTGCCCCATTGCTCACTGGGAGAGTGGCCCTCACCTATAGCCTCAAGACATATGGCCTTTGGTTCTTCCCACGTCCTCCAGATGGGGAAGGATAAGAGAGAGTCCCCATAGATGCTCCTCACCTTTCTCTTCTGCGTGGGCTCCTTCTCGCTGGCGTTGGAGGGCTTGCGGCGCAACATGGTTTTCTGCCCAGGCGAAACTCTGCCCCTACTCTCCTAGGTGTCCAGACGCACAGGCCTCTTGCTGAGACTGGCCAGCACTATCCAAGGGATACAGCATGGACTGGAGCTCTGACTGCTGCAGTGGCAGCCTGGGGGTGTTAGCCATGGACACCCAGGCGGCAGAGGCAGCCACAGCAGCATACAGGAAGCCCTGCCACGTGACCTGCCCTTACAGCAATCGCAGCCCCTTCTGGCCCCAGGGGAGGAAGGAAGTCCCAGCTTTCAGTCTCCAGAGATTCTGATACAGATGGCTCTTGGGTTGAACAATCAGAGAAAAGTCCCTACCCTCCTGTCTCAAGTCACTTACCTTCAGTCTTGCTCCCACTCCCTGGAGGTGGCTGATCGACTTGCTCAAGCCTTGTATCTCACTGATCAAACTTAGAGACCAAAATGGACCATCTTTCTGCCTGTTGGGTGGAGGCTAGCTGGTCACTTTGCATCACCATGGTTACCATTGCTGTGAGCTGGTCAGAAAATGGCCGGAGCAGCAGAGGTGCTAAGTGGCTTAAATACAAAGGAGGTGGGGACTGGCTTCTACATTCCTCTCCAGCCTAAGGGAAGGTGGAGGGCAGAATAGAAACTTTTTCTCCTCAATGGAAGAGACCAGAGATGTTGGAGATAATGAAATGGCCCAGGGAAGAAGGACAGGATGTTCACACAAACTAGATAATGACTGCATTGACTCTTGAGTTTTGAGTCTGAGACCAAAGCACAGCCTGAAGTCTGGGGGGGTGGGTTGACAGAGTGCTAACAAATGCAGACCTGAAAGGAGGAGGGACGGTGCAGGGACCAAGCAATGGCAGAAGACCCATTAGAAAACCAGCCTTTGGTGGGGAAATCCACGATGAGTCAATATAAGGTCTAGCATGACATTTTTCCGTCCTGAGGTTTCTTTGGACTTCGTTTGCCAAGTATCCACCTTCACTAAACTCACTCTTTCCATTCAAACGTTTTCTCTGTCTCTTGTCTGAACTTTGTCCCTCGCTTGAAATCTTTCCTGTGAGTGGGACAAGAACTGAGGAGTGGACAGACTTGAAACTCTGAGCCTCCTCCCGGTAACATGGCCATCACTACCAACTACCTTCCCCTCGACAATCATCATGCTACAGTTACTGCCCTTATAGCCATCTTCTACTGCGATCTTCTCGCCTGCTGCCATCACCTTACAGTCATAACCCCGACCACCAGCCCCCTTGCAGCCGTCCCATCACCCCGACAGATTCTGTCCTGACGACCATCACCCCCACAGCCATTGTACACCGCTTACATCAGCACTAGAGCAATGACTCCTGCTGTCAATACCCCTCAGCTGTCATTTCTGTAGTTAGCACACCTCTAATCATTATCATCCATCGCTGCCATCATTCTTACAGCGATCATCCTTCCAATTATTAATCACTGTACTCATCCCACTGCCTTTAGTAGGCCCACAGCCGACCCTCGCCATCACCTCTACAACCATCACCATTGCGACCTTCCTCCAGCCCTCCAGCCTCCACCCTATGCACATCACCTCTGTAGTCAAGCATCCCCATGGATTCTCTCACCTGTATAACCCTCACTCTGTGCAGTCTCACTCCTACAACCATCATGTCTTGGGTACCATCACCACAGCCATCATCACTGCAGCCTTCGCCTCTCAGCCATCCCCTTACAGACATGATCCCCGATGCCACTAATACACCTACAAGCCTTCAGCATGAGAGCAACCACGCTACTGTCTACACTCCGCAGTCATCACCATCACAGCCATCGGCACAACGGCTAAGAAGTATTTGTAGACAATGCCACATCACCAGCCGATGTACCATTCAACAGGCATTTATTATGTCCCTATGGGGATGGGCAGCATGCTTGGTAAAGTGGAGGGGCAGCGGAAGGGAGGAAGCCCCTCTGCAAGATGGATTGACACCGTGACTACGACCATGGACTCAAGTCTAGGGAGGATGGCGGTGTGGGGCCGTGCAGTGTTTTGCTCTGTTGTGCTATGGGTCAGAACCAACTCGACCACACCTAACAACCACAAAATGCAGTAAATTGAGACCATTTTTGGTGATTTGTGGCAGATATTTTAATAACACAAAGACTTATTTCAAGCATAATCCATATTTGCTGTATGTAATTTAGTGAACACCGGTTTTCAAAGAAGAAAATGAAAACAGTTTTTCCTCAAAATTTTCTTCATTGTTTTGTTGAATTTCCCTCTCTGTGATAAGCCATCTTTGTCTAAATAAGACATTTTAAAAGCACAAATGTCATTACACAGAGAGCAGCTCAGTGGTTGGGGTAGGGGAGAAATGAAGGAGAGATGACAAAGGTGCAGAAGACAATATTTGGGGGTAATGTATATGTTTACTCTCTTGATGTTTTCATGGGTTTATTTTTTAAAAGTAAACAACCCATTGCCATCAAGTCAATGCCAACTCATAGGCACCCTATATGGTTTCTGAGACTGTACATCTTTATGAGAGCAGACAGCCTCATCTTTTTCAGAGCAGCTGATGAATTCGAACCCCTGAGCTTATAGTTAGTAGCCCAATGTCTAACCCACAGCACTATCAGGGGTCCTTGGCATATCTCCAAGGGGATGTCAAAAAGTATTCCTAATTGAGGAGTCAGCAAAAAGTCAACAAATGAAGCACACCAGAAGAAGTATACCAGCACGTGTGATGCAAGGATTGTAAATAAGAGCCAAACCCAGAGGAGGGAACCATACCAGTGTCTACATTCTAAGCATGTGGTTTGTGAATTGCTATAGATGATAGTGGAAACCCAAAAATCCATTTCTAGGGTCCCTAGGTAGATTGAGTCCTCGATGACTCCCCACTGGCCACAGACTAGGAATGTGAACAGCCCCAATAGCAGGCAAAGAGCATTGTAAAATAGATTTTAGCAGCAGTTATTAGCCTAGAATGTAACACCTTGCCTTCAGATCTCCCTTTGGACCCACTTTCAATTTATCCTAAAATTTTAATATCATTTACTTTTTCTTAGGTTGAGGTCTTTCACTGTTTTATGTGATCGCTGTTGCAGATCATTTTCTTTCCTGTTTTTTGTTCTTGTTTCATATATTTTTCTGTCTGGAGAAGTTAGGATTTATGAAGACAGTCACTGAAATACTAATTACTTGGGGTCGTGAAAGGGCAGGGTAGGGGAAATGAGGAGTCAACATAAATGGGTCCAAGAAGGAAGAAAATGTTTTAAAATTGATTGTGGTGATGACTGCGCAACCCTTCTTAATATGATTGAATGATTGAATTGTATGATACGTTAATTACAGCTTAATAAAACTAATTTTTTAAGTACTGCAACAAAATCATATAATCCCACAAAAACATGAAAATGTGAAGCTATGGTTTAACTGTAGAGCTTTACAGTTCTGTAGGCAGTGCTTCCGGTTCTCTAGCTCTCCCCTGAAGATTCTAAGCCCTTCCTTTTACAGCATGTCAAACAGTAGTTTTGGCCTCTTTGAGGATCTTCAACTCATGTTCCATTTAAATATTCTTTGCATTTTAGAAACAAAAAATGAGGCTGACGGAGCAAGATGAGGTAAAGTTTTCCAATCGACTTCTTCTAGGACAGCCTTTGCTAGCCTTGAAGAATGAGCAGATGCCTGATCACAGCGGAACAAAACATCCTCAGCCCAACTTTCCTGGCCTTTTCCTCACCAATGCTAAGGTCATTTTATTTGGGGCTTTTACAGGTCTTATAACAATCCATACATCAATTATACTAAGCATATTTGTACATATGTTGCCGTCATTATTTTCTAAACATTTAATTTCTACTTAAGCTAAGGTGACCAGACGTCCCGCCTTTGGCGGGACAGTCCCAATTTTTAACAATTTTTCCCGCGTCCCGCAGTGTTTTAAAAAAGTCCCGATTTTTGGAAAGAATGC